TTAATCTTTAAAGTAACATCTGATGACGTTCTGTTGTCCTACCCTGCAAGATAGTGCTGTAGCACTCGAAATTGGTCTTGGTCTCGAAACCACTTTTTGAAGGTCTCGGTCTCGTCTCCAAATCCTACAGCATTTTATCACGGCCTCGGTCTAAGAATGGGGGGACAGGGAAGATATTTATTATTTACTGTGAGATGTTATTTGACCTCCATCATTGAAAATAAAAAGATTTAAAATCCTCTAATCATTTTGAGGCTTTTCTTGACCTCTGCAGATTTATAAATCCAGAGACATAAATGATGTCAGCGGTTTGTTTGTTGTTTGAAATGAAAGACGTTTCTTCAGATCTGATGTAATCTGCACTCAGCTGTTTTCACTTATTAAAACCTGCAGTTCACAGCAGCGGCTCACTGAGTCCCAGCAGTCTCACTGAAGAACAGGTCATTAATCCCAGCATCCTCCTCACAGGAAAACAAACTCTGAGTTTGGACCTCGGAGACAATTAGCTCAGAGAAACAACGACAACAAACCTCCAGCTGAGAGTCCTGAAGGAAGGAGCCGAAGAATAACTGAACAGTTGAAACCTCAGAGGAAACACAGAAGTGCAACTCATTAACTGTTTCAGTGACAAAGCCGAGGGGGAATATATCCGACTGCTTTCAGGTCAGTTTGATCGGAGACTTTTCGATGTGGTCAGACTGCAGAGTTTGTACTTTTCTGTTGTTTTCAGTGTAAACTTTAGATCGTTAAAACATGAACTTTTTCAAAAGTGATTTTTGGGCCTTTTTGTCTTCTTTGGATCGGACAGGAAATGTCGGGAGGAGAGAGAATGGGACGACCCGCAGAAAAGGGCAGAGGTCGGATTTGAACCCACAACCACTGCCCAGAGGACTACACCCTCTGTACATAACCACTAGGCTCCGAACATGTACATTTTTAATTTGTCTTCAGTTCATTCATTTATTTAAAACATATATAGTGTTATATATAACAACTATACATGCAAACATTGTTTTCTGTTTGAACTCGTCCATGTTTAAAAAGGAGGAAGTTATAAAAACGATTCCAGTCAGACCCCTTCTTTTATTTTAAGATGTATTAATTAATCCCATGCCCTTTCAAAATAAAAGTCAAAGAATACTAATAACAAGCTAAGCAACTCAACAAATAGAATATATGACACTCATCAGATGATTCTTCAGTTTTATATCTGTTAAATATGTTCATCTTGGACCTGCTGGAACGGTACTGATTAGTGTTGTAGTCAAGACCAGACTAACGGGGACCAAGACATACCCGAGACCAGGGCGCTCCAAGACCAAGACTAGACCAAAACATATAGGCATAGAGGCCGAGTCAAGACTACACTAACCGGGGACCAAGACATACCCAAGACCAAGACCAAGGCAGGGCGAGACCAAGACAAGACCAAGACATTTAGGGGCCGAGACCGAGACAAGACCAAGACCAGGGCAGGGTGAAATCCTCATCTTGTGTTTAGGGGCGCGTCACTCACTGAGACTGCAATACCGGGAAGGTTGCGTCCGTAACCGGGGGATAAAAATCAAACTACAAATGAACTGAAGTTATTTGTTTTTTTAGAAAGAGGAGTTTTCCCGCTATGCTGACGTGACGGATCAGTGGTGGTCTTGACCGGTCTTGATTCATGAACTAAATGTACGCTACACTGAAAAGAATTCACAGCTCGTTAGCAAGCCCCTTTGTTTGAGCACGACTTCGGCACAGCGTATGCGTTCCTCCGCCGCTCGCATCAACAGCAACGTAAATCACTAAAACAGAAAGATGAGCACGAAGACGTTTGTGTTCGATAATTAAAACAACAACAACGTGATAATTAGACTGTGAGGTTTTGGAAAAAGGAAACATGAAGTCAACATGTTGATTAAACTCTGGAGAGTCTTTCAGCTCAGGGACCTTTAAACCGGCTCAAACCGGTTTTACATTGGTGCTGCGTTCAAGGTCAGTCCCTCCGTGGGACGTTTGGACCTCAGGTATAAAAAGAAGCCAGAAGAGAGAGAGACCTTCCTGAAGACGGACTGATCAACCTGAGCAGGTAGGAAAGAGCGATATTTCATATTTGATTTGTTTATTCTTGATCACATTTCTGTTCCCGCCTCGTGAAGACAAACTGATTGTTCACTTTGTGATGTTTTCCATTTTGAACATGGTGAATTATTAACATTTGATTTGATACTTTAAACGATTTGAAAAAATAACTTTGATGTTTGCTGAAGGAAATCTAAAAAGGGCTTCTCTGCAGTCTGATTCAAATGTTTATTTTCGTTTACACACTTGAGGAATCTGACTTTGTGTTGACTAAAACCATCGGCAAAAGACGAAAGATACCAAAGTAAGAAGCTTCAAAAGCTCCTGCTGACCGCTTCAATAGAATCATTTCTCACTGTTTGATACGAGTCCCAACATTCAGGAGAGAAATATAAGTTTTTTCCTGACCAAACAGTTCAGAGGACTTTTTGAAGTTGAACTATCTACGAGGGAGTTTCCTGAGAACTAAACACAATGGGGACTTTTTCTGTCTGCATTCACACCACCATGATACCGACTCTGAAGCAGGAGCTAAAAAGGATCCTCTAAACAGGTTCTAAGAACTGAAATACTAGTAGTTCCTGCGGTGAAGAATGAATAAAAAAGGAATAGGGTTTGAAACGGTTCCTGGAACCACATGTTGTGTTCTTTATGTTTTCAGTCAGTACAGGATGGGCAGAAATAAACCTTGGGCTTCAGCCTATTCCTCTTTTGGTCACTGATTGTTTGAATTTTATTGTGTGAAATGGAATGGAAGTGTAAACGTGTGATGTTTTTTTTTTTTTTTGACTATTTACACAAATATTTTTGACTCTTGTTATTCTTTAATGAATGACCAAAATAAAAAAGATTCATTCATTCAAGTCGGATTAAGATGAAAAAACTAAAGTCGGTGAGTTTTGATGACGAGACTACTGTTTCTTTAATTTTTCACTTTGATAAAATGACTTTTACTTGTTTGTTTCAGGCGTCACAGAAGATCGATTTTTCTAGCCCTGCCACTATTTGATGGGATTTGTATTTTTATTTTTATTTTTAATGAACTTTTATTTAAGCAGGTCATTAACACATCGAGATCAAAATCTCGTTCATGAGGGTGACCCGGCCAAGAGAGCAGCAGCACCCGTCATAATAATATTAATGATTAAGAAACTGGAAGTTAACAACAATTACAAAGAGCAGATTGTTTCACAGATTACGTGCAGAGTCGTGATCACAGATTACGATTCAGAAACACTTCAGGCTCCGTCCGATGGTCTCTCATTTGTCTTTTGAGATCGAGCCAAAGGCTTCAAGGAGAGTTTGAATGAGAGACATGTCAGTTACACTTTATAATAACATCATTGATAAAGGGTGAATTACTAGTTCAACTTTAATGAATAGTGATTTTTGTATGTTTACTCTTCTTTGGTTTGTTCATTCTTTGTGCTGTTGTAATTTTCTGTCTTATTTGGTAATTGTCTATCTTAGTGTTGCTTGTTTTCAAGATTATTCTTTAGTGTTTCCTGTTTTATTTTGTAGTTCTTTTCCTCAGTGTCTCTTGTCTTCATGCCTCTGTGTGATTCCCTCCACTTCTGATCGCCCTCATGGTCTCACCTGTGTCTGATTTCCCCTGTGTCTAATTGGAATTGTCTTTTTTGCTTAGGAAGGTTCCTAACTGAGTGAAATGACCCAGAAGCATTTAAGTGGTGGCCATGATAACAGCTGTTCAAATTCTCTAAAAGCGAAGGAAAGGTCCTTTATGAACACTCCACACATCTTTCCTTAACCCTCTCTTGATGTCTGTTCATTGTCAGTGTCGGTTTTCCTCGTGGCTCCCAGTGTGTTTTTTTAACCTTTTGTGGATTTTTCAGTTTGGACATTTTTCACTAATCCTTTGTTTTGCCTTTTTTGTTTAATAACTATTTTCATTTAGCTTCTGCACTTGGGTCCAGTTCCTTTTTATTTTTTAGAAATGTGGAAATTTTACTGTTAAACGACGAACTGATCGTTAATAATGTTAGCTCATTATCTGTAAAGCTATCGACGATGTTAACAGTATATTGAGACACACGTTATAACATTTTATACTCTACATAAAGTGTTTGTTCATGATTTTAAACCTTTGAAGAGATCATTTATAAAACATCTTTAAACACAGATACGTGGAGCAGATGTTTGTTCACGGTTCATTAATATTTTGCAAGCCATCCAAATAATGTTAACAGACGGTTTGATTAACTATTAGTTCATTGTTTGTTGACAGTAAAATAACTATTCACTACAGTTTAGTTTATTATTAATTTACCTGTTATACATAATGGTAATTACAAAGTGTGACCAACATGTCTGTCAGTCATTCTTCTGATTTACGGCTCTCTCACAGTGATATAAAGTATGCGTATATTATGTATTTCCTGAATCCTCAGATTTTTGTGAGTTTTCCAGTTTCCCTCTTTTGTGTCCCTGATGTTCCCAGATGTCACGGGGCTAAAGGAGAACGTATATATCAGGGTTGTGTCAGTGACTACTTGAAGAGCCACAGTTACCTCAATGATTGAAAGCCAAGAAAGTCCTATTATTATTATTCAATATTAAAAAATGCCTCGACCATGAGCCTAAACATGGATATTGGACATTTTTATAAATAGAGACCTGTCAATCACAGGTAGCCCCGCCCTGGCCAAAAGTGACCAAGAGGCGGAGCTGGAGAGGAGCGAACATAACTCATTTCCAGCTCCGCCCTCTTGTCCAAATATGGTCACTTCCTTTGACACAAGGTGCTTACTGAAAGCTTGAGCAGTCATCTCCTCAGAACACTTTTATGGTTTCATGGTATCGACTTGTCAATCACAGTAAGCCCCGCCCTAACTCCTCCCCCATCATTTATTATGTTATTGGCTCTCTGCATTCGACTGTTTCTGTCTGATCTTTGCTCAGGTGAGTTCGGCATCATGTTGGAGGCGTCTCTGGGCAGGAACTTCTCCCACAGCACCTTCGTGTTCAGAGGGTTTCCTGGGCTGCACAGACACCGCCGGCTGCTGGCGCTGCCGTTCTGCATGTCTTACCTGCTGGTGCTGCTGGGAAACATTCTGCTGGTGTACGTGATCCACAGCGTGGAGAGTCTGCACAGCCCCATGTACCTGCTCATCTGCACGCTCTGCGTCGTCGACATCCTCGTGGTGACCACCATCATCCCCAACATGCTGCTCAGCCTCCTCTTCGGCTGGGACCAGATCTCATTGGCCGGCTGCTTGACTCAGATGTTCTTCACTCACTTCCTGTCTTCACTGGAGTCCACGCTGCTCTTAGCGATGGCGCTGGATCGTTACGTGGCTATCTGCATGCCGCTGCGCTACGCCAAAATCATAGACACGTCCATGTTTGTGAAGCTGCTGCTCTTCACTCTGGTTCGCAGCTGCTCCATCATGGCCACACTGGTTGGTTTGGCGGGTTCTCTAGAGTTCTGCAACTCCAACACGATCCAGCACGGCTACTGCGACCACATGGCGCTGGTCCGCCTGGCGTGTGACAGCACAGAGAAAAACAGCGCCATGGGCCTCGCTGTGATCATCTGCTTTGTGGGCCTGGACATCCCGCTCATCTTCCTCTCCTACATGAAGATCCTGAGTGTCGTCCTGCGGGCGGCCGCCGCTGGCGAGGACCGCTGGAGGGCGTTTCACACCTGTGGCACTCACCTGATCGTCATGCTGTGTTTCTACCTGGTGGGAAGCATCACGTTCCTCTCTCACAACCTGAACATCCCCATATCAACAGACGTCAACACCTTCATGGGGCTCATGTACATCCTGTTTCCCGCGACCGTCAACCCCGTCATCTACGGCGTCCGGACCAAAGAAATACGAAACGGGTTCTTTAGGATTTTCAAACTCAGAACAAAGAAATGGATGACGGTGAAGGTTTCTCCTGCCCTGAAAACATGACGCTTTTTCTTCTTCTGTTTGTGACTGACGTGATCCGTCAGGTGACTGGAACCGGCAAGTTACATCACCGATGTTTGAAGATTATTTTAAAGATGAACAGTATAAAACTGTCCGAACGAACGAAGCAAAGTTTGACTGTCCGGCTGTTCTTGGTGTTTCTTGTTCACATTAAATGTATTTCTTCAAAAGGTCTCTGAGGAAGGTCTCAGGCTGTAGCTGACGGGTTCACCGTTTTCTCAGAGCGAGACTCGTCTGCACTCGAGGCGATGGTTTCCACGTTAAAGCTCAAAGAATTCTTGATCAGTTTGTGATGAGAGTGTTTTCAAAGGCGTGTGCAAAGGCTTAAAGGAAGATTGTCCAACTTTTTGATCCACTAGGTGTCGCCCTTGAGCTCCAGCATGAAACCAAAACAAACTGCTGTTAGGCCACGCCTCCTCCATACTGAAGCCTCCGCTCTCCTCCAGAGACACACCTCTACTCACGTTTGCGTGAAAGAGTTTAGCCCAAGCGGCGGACTAACTTGCCCTCGGATCGAGCTGGAATCAGCTGTGTCCTGCATTGTTGTGTTAGCATGCTAATGTTAGCGCTCTTTAGTTAGCTCGTAGCTTCACATTAGCTGTGTCCTGATTGTTGTGTTAGCATGCTAATGTTAGCGCTCTTTAGTTAGCTCGTAGCTTCACATTGTTGTGTTAGCATGCTAATGTTAGCGCTCTTTAGTTAGCTCGTAGCTTCACATTAGCTGTGTCCTGCATTGTTGTGTTAGCATGCTAATGTTAGCGCTCTTTAGTTAACTCGTAGCTTCACATTGTTGTGTTAGCATGCTAATGTTAGCGCTCTTTAGTTAGCTCGTAGCTTCACATTGTTGTGTTAGCATGCTAATGTTAGCGCTCTGTAGTCAGCTCGTAGCTTCACATTGTTGTGTTAGCATGCTAATGTTAGCGCTCTTTAGTCAGCTCGTAGCTTCACATTGTTGTGTCAGCATGCTAATGTTAGCGCTCTTTAGTTAGCTCGTAGCTTCACATTGTTGTGTCAGCATGCTAATGTTAGCGCTCTTTAGTTAGCTCGTAGCTTCACATTGTTGTGTCAGCATGCTAATGTTAGCGCTCTTTAGTTAGCTCGTAGCTTCACATTGTTGTGTCAGCATGCTAATGTTAGCGCTCTTTAGTTAGCTCGTAGCTTCACATCGTTGTGTTAGCATGCTAATGTTAGCGCTCTTTAGTTAGCTCGTAGCTTCACATCGTTGTGTTAGCATGCTAATGTTAGCGCTCTTTAGTTAGCTCGTAGCTTCACATCGTTGTGTTAGCATGCTAATGTTAGCGCTCTTTAGTTAGCTCGTAGCTTCACATTGTTGTGTTAGCATGCTAATGTTAGCGCTCTTTAGTTAGCTCGTAGCTTCACATTGTTGTGTTAGCATGCTAATGTTAGCGCTCTTTAGTTAGCTCGTAGCTTCACATTTCATGTAAACTGACACAGAATGAGCGTGATCTAAAAACTCTTACTAACATCCAAATAATCAGTGAGTATGTTCTTCTTCTTCTCTCTAGTTCTTGACTAAAACAGCTTTTATACACAAGGGGAGGAGCCGGCCGTCCCGTCCATGTAAACACGGCTCTGACAACAACACAGCCAGCGGGACTCGAGCTTCTCCCTCATTGTAGACAGTCAGGACTCAGAGACACATTTACACAGGACAGACTTTATGATTTATTGATGTGGAACATGTCACACATTCTTCCTTTAAAATGTGGCTTCACAGGTGCTCAATCGATCAGGGATCAGATACACCTGTAGAGTAAGTTACCTGTAGAGGGACTCATCATGCATACTTCACTTTGAACAAAATAACTGATGTCTGTTCAGCCTTACCTCAGCCTTTGTCTCTCTGTCCTTTCTTGCTGCACACTTAATGGATGGATGCCATGTCCTCATCAGCTGCAAGCCTCAGTAGGTTTTTCCTTACTGGCAGGTAAACGTTCCTTTAATGCCCATATAAGGACATGAGACTGCAGGGCCATGCAGGGCAGGCCCAAATTAAAACAATCAAGCTCCAAATGTGCGAACCATAGATGCAAACATGCAGACTTATTGTTTTACATTGAGTAAGATCCCTGATGGACATTATATAAACTGAAAATATACGCTCTGACTGGATTTTACTGTTCTGCTTTGTTCTGGTTGACTCGGGACGTTTCTGGGGGCGGAGCTGGTGTGTTTCCTCCAGCCAATGACAGCGCAGCAGGTGAGCTTAGGAGTAGATACAATTCAGAGATTGGACGCCATTCAAAGTGTAAGTGTAAATGTCTGATATGAATCATGTTTCTGTGTGTTAGACCTCTGCAGCGTCAGCCACATCATTCAGCACCCAATGAATAAAACCAAATACATGCAGTGCACAGACAATCCACCAGGGGGCAGGAAGCTGCTGTACAGGATTAGAGGAGGTCAGAGCTCTTGTGAATATTTTCACACATGTTAAGAAAGATGCAGAAAAACATTCAGACAGTTTCTGATACTTCAACAGAGATATTTACTGGATTCAAATGATTCATTTATGTTTGTGGAATATTTAAAATCATGTTTAATAAATAAGATATTACAAGTGATTTTATATTTTTTATTTTACACTTTGTGGATCACATGGAGAGCTGTTTTCTCTTCTGTTATAAAAGTTAAACTTTTATTAACGTCCCGGGCTTTTATCATAAATCAAAGGAACTGGACTGTGAGGGTGAAGCGTGCTTGGGCACGGTACGGATGGCCTAGTGTCAGTGTGCGTCCTTTCTGTAAATACCATAATTAGATATATTTAGTGTGAACATCATATTTAAAGATGATATTGTGTTTTTATATGAAATATGTTGTAACTTAAATCCTGAGTTATTGGGTCACTTGCTAATCATTATTCTCTTCTCAATAAAAATGATCGATGAAGAAATTAATGACACAATAATGTTTTATTTTTGGTTCATTTTTAGACAGCCAATAAAGTTTCTCAGAGGGAGAATCAAAAGTTTGAAATGTTGTCTGTGTTTTTATTTTTATATTTCTAAACTAGTATATTAAAAAAAAACGCTGATGTATCAAATGTGAAAACAAAACATGATTTTTTTTCCTCATATCCGGGGTCGGGTCATGGTGGCAGCAGGCGCAGTAAGTCTCCCGAGACGTCCCTCTCCCCAACAACACTTTCCAGCCCCTCCTCCTGGAGGATTCTGAGGCGTTCCCAGGCCAGACGGGATAAATCCCTCCAGCGTGTTCAGGCTCTGCCCCGGGGTCTCCTCCCTGTTGGGCCTCCAAAGGGAGGCGTCCAGGTGGATCCTAATCAGATGCCCGAACCACTTCAACCGGCTCCTTAAGATGTGAAGGAGCAGCGGCTCTACTCCGAGTTCCGCCCCCTCTCTCTAAGGCCGAGCCCACACACCCTCCAGAGGAAACTCATTTCGACGTCAGTCTAACACAGCGTTCGCAATACTGCAGCGACCGCAGCCTGTCAATCTGGAGATCCATTTTACCCTCACTCATGAACAAGAACCAGAGATACTTGAACTCTTATGCTTAAGGCAGAGACTCACTCCCCACAGTAATGTGTTATTCAATTATTTATTTCTTATCGTTCAATTTAATTGACAGACCCAACACCATTCTCAAAACAAGTTGGTGTAATGTCAAACTGTAGTGACTGGCACCCCGGGGTTTTGGGTTTCCAGGGCGCCTCAGGACTGTGGCCGACACAGACAGAGCTCAAAAGAACGGTAACAAAAAGGAAACCGGCAAACTTCCATTTGAGAGACGACCGACTCTACCACTGAGCCACAGCCGCTCCAAATCTGTTTGTTGTCATTAAATCTGTTTGTTTTGGGGTCATGGCGCTGAAGTAAGACAGCTGAACTAAACTGTACAGTCAAACAGAAACAGCCGGGACGTCCTGCTCTCTTGTCACCATGTTCCTTATTTTTTGGATGAAATCATAAAGTTATGAAACCTTTGATGTAACACTCGTAACATTTACAGGTTTTAGTGAAATGAAGCCAAAAACAGCCAGAAACAACATCATAGTATGTAAAAGCATCCCCGACTTCTGTCTGTTTGTCCTGCAGAGAAAACTGTCGACTCATCGTCACACTCGGCTCATGATAAGAATATCTCAAATATTAGAAAATGTACAGACATATTCTCATAACATTTCTGTTTCAGAGACCTGATGCACGCTATGATTGTCAAACCATGAAATGTTTTAATCGTAATTAATCACATTTTAATTGTGTGTTTAAAATTCCATTATTTCACATTTAAAGATAAAAATAGATAGGCTTTTATTTTGAAATGTCCTGCTGAGAGTACTTTACTTGCTGTGTGCTTTTATTTTGAAATAAATTAAGACCCTTCCTGTAGATTGAAGGTTAGGACAGGAAGTTAAGCCCAGAAACAGGAAGTGGTTAGGGATCCCAAACTGACGTCAAACAGCTCAAAGGAACGGCAACAAAGGTCAATGTGTGATGTCATTATGTCAATGTGTGATGTCATAAGGTCAATGTGTGATGTCATTACGTCAATGTGTGATGTCATCAGGTGGATATTACTGTCTGAGAGTTTGTTAAAGTGAAATGAGACATTCAAAGATGCAGCAGTGAGACTACAGGGAGACACTGAGGACCACTATCTACGGAGTAGGGACAAAATATGAGATGAATTGCTATTTTTAAAAATGTAATAAATTCAGACCTTAATAAATCGAGATGAATCGTCAATGCTGACAGCCGTAGAATAAAGATAAACTATCATCACACACAAACTTGTACCACAGCTCCGCTCCTCTACCACATTTTCAGTCACTGTTGAACTTTAAATTTGCAAATAAAAAACAGTGTTTTGTGAATAAATGTTCAGTAATAACACACTTTAATAATCTCCTGAAGTCTGCTCATGTTTCACAAATAAATCAAAAAAATAAAAACCCGGATTAAATACTCTCGAGTTATTTCAGCAACAATCCACTAAACTTTCCTCCATCACTAATTCAATGATTTCCTTCTTTCTGGAATTCCACACCACATGGTTTCACTTCATTTCTGACCGTCAGAGAACAGCCTGTCTTTTTAATTTAAAGAGGAGTGCGTTGGATTTAGTGGGATCCACTGGTGAGATTTAATTACCACCTCCCTCACAGCCTGGAGGAGAACCAGTGTTCTCAGAGGAAGGTCGGCGTTTGGTTGGTCCATTCTGGGCTGCTGTAGAAACATGGCTGACTCAAACCGACCTGCTCCCTCCCTTGCAGCCTCATGAAAACAGATTTCCAAAGTGCTAATTTTCTGTTTCGTTGAAGGTTTTCACATTTAATTTCCTCCGTGAGAAGTCGTTAACACTGCAGGTGTTTCAGGGTATTAAATTAAATGTTTCTCATTTCTACGGTTTGTTGGGGGATATGGGGTACCAGGGTCATTGATATGGTTTGTTGGGGGATATGGGGTACCAGGGTCATTGATAAGGTTTGTTGGCGGATATGGGGTACCAGGGTCATTGATATGGTTTGTTGGGGGATATGGGGTACCAGGGTCATTGATATGGTTTGTTGGGGGATATGGGGTACCAGGGTCATTGATATGGTTTGTTGGGGGATATGGGGTACCAGGGTCATTGATATGGTTTGTTGGGGGATATGGGGTACCAGGGTCATTGATAAGGTTTGTTGGCGGATATGGGGTACCAGGGTCATTGATATGAGATTTGGTCCTTGAATACCTCTCAGACTCAGCATCCTAAGCAAAAAGTCAAACATGCTTCCCGTGTTGGCCTCTGCCAGGTCTGTTCTTTGTCAACAAATCGGTCTTCATTTTATTGTGTTTTATTTGTTTTTGTATTTGTATTTTTTATTTATTTGTATTTGCTCATTATTTTTGATTCTTTTGCTTTTCTTATGAAATGTGCTTTTAAACGAAGCCTCCGTGTCTGAAATCCAAGCAAGTCTTCTATTTTCATTCTGGGCCGTTTTCATGTTTGCTACAAACATATTTACCTCAAGTCTTTAACAGATTCATATTGAGGATGGACATGTGAGTTGATTGTTTGTACAGAAATGAAGTGAAACCATGACTGAATGGAAGGAAATCAAGCTAAATACTGTTGATTCAAAAATGATCAGCCGGTAGAAAAATGTGTAAACTTCACTTCTCTGTAAAGGTTGATCGATCATGAACAAATATAGTATTGAAGTAACACATGCACACAAGGCCCGCAGTTCGTCTCAACTGATTGGCTCTCTAACAGGATCAGGTCCTGTCGGGTCGAGAAGTCCTGCAGGTGGTTGTGCTCTGGTGTTTCTTGACGCTCTGCAGCCTCGTCTGCACACGGGCGGTTACTGAACGTCGGCGGGCGTTCATGTTGTGGCTCGAGGGCTGGACTGGTCCAGATCAACCAAAGTTGGCAGTGTTGTTGTTTTGTCTGATACGACACATCAATACTAACCGCGACTTAACCTGTCGGGTCCCTAATGGAAACATGTAGAACAAAGTGACATTAGAGGCATGCTACCAGACGCCATTATGACGCGGCGTCCACCAGCCCGGGTCTCCGGCCGGCCAGTGGTGGACTGCTCTGTCTGAAAACACGACTGAGGTCTAGGCTGCAGTACTCTAGTTTGTACACCCTGCAGGAAGCAGAGAGAGGACGAACATGAACGAGAACACAAACACGGCACCGCCCATCATTTAAAGGGTGTCCAGACTGTGGTTTGACCTTAAGGTGACCTCCGTTAGCTCAACACTACAAACAGTGGCTAAACATCAACAGCAGCGGTGCAGCGGTGACTCTCGATGTCTTTATCTGTCGTCCAGTTTGGGCGAGTCCACCGGCTCATCGTCTTCATCCTTATCGTCCTTCGCTCCGATCAGTCGCTGGCGGGCGAAGTCTTCAAAGATGATGTCATCATCGCTGAGGGAAAAGAGGGAGATTAAGGGGTGAGTCAGTGTAAAATTAAGTCTCTGGATTAGATAAGAGTCATTTTCAGGTGAAGGGGCAGCGGGATCACTTTGAGGATGGGGTCAGAGCAGATCTCAGAGACCCACATTTTCTAAGAATGGATTGCAGCCACTAACGCGTTGCTCCTGATAGTTTGCTCTTAGTGTGCGCTCGGTTCTGTCAAAATAAAAATGATGAGAAAACTCACATAGTCATCATGGTAACTGCTTTAGAGCGTGTCCACTGATGTGGATGAAGTGTGGAGCCCCTGGTTATTTTAATAATAGTCATGTCAGAGTCATATTTACACAGCTTTTATTTTGGAGGGCATCCAGAGGTGGAATAGTTTTCCTGATCACTGCGGCGCAGTTACCACCAACTCCCAGCAGATGGTCATTATTTTTCACTGTAACTGTACACGGCTGATAGCGCCGCTGTCGGTGAATTCGATGCTTCTCCAAAGGGGCCGATCTGTATCGAAAAGGAACAATTTTCCTCAAATGATTAAAATTCATGTCAAGAGCACAAGAGACGCTGTTTGCTGCACAGCGCAGTTAGGGCAGCATTTAACCCTTAAAGGCTTTATATGTGATTTGTTGATCCAGCAGATGTCGCCCTTGAGCTCCAGCATGAAACCAAAACAACTGCCGCTGCATTGTTGTGTTAGCATGCTAATGCTAGCGATCTTTATTCTGCTGGTATCTTCACACTGCATGTAAATTGACCTGAAATGAGCGTGATCTAGAAACACAGTTAAGCAGTGAGTACAGTATGTTATTCTTCTTTTCTCTAGTCCCTCAATTAAACAACTTTTATACACGAGGGGAGGAGTCAGCCGGCCGTCCAGGCGATGTAAACAAAGTGAAGATAGGACTCTGAAAACTCTGAAAACATCACAGACAGTGGGACTCGGGTGTTACACCCATTGTAGACAGTCATGACTCACAGAGTTATTTTCAGAGGAGATACTTGATTTCTACATTTAAGGGTGAAAAAATCACATAGAAAGACTTTAACGGGCGTTTGTGAATTAGACGGAGTCTTATTGATTCATTTGCACGGGTTAGGCAGATGTGAAGCTATCCTTTGAGAATCCCAAAAAATGTTGCTGTCAATTGCCTGACAGCAAAAAACAGTTTGCCTAAAAACACCCTGAGACAACAAGAATAATAAAGAGAAACATATTTCAGTTTGTGGCACCTTCAGTCTTCGTTTTTCTGTCATGTTTCCAAACTGAAAAAGACAGACCGGAAACATTTATTTCACCTCGGCTGTGAACAGAAATTATTTAAACTCTCTTTTCAAACAGAGACAATCTGTTCTGTTATCTGAGCGTGAAATGACGAGCAGTAAAACTGCTGTGAAGACCAGTTTCCACTTCCTGCTGCAGCATTAGGACGCATTAAAGCTGAGCCTCAGGAGACGAATCATCACTGATCGGGTTTCAGCAGGAAAACCTCTCAGAGTATTGACGAGGCCGTTCACCAGAGCTCAGCCAATCAGATCAGAGACAGGAAGAGCGGCAGACAGACAGGCAGACAGAAAGGCAGACGGGCAAAGAGACGGCTGCTCACTTTGTGTCAAATTCGATCAGGTTTGTGTCGACTGGAGCTTCATCTGCAGCTGCAGAGAGAGAGAGAGAGAGAGAGAGAGAGAGAGACAGAGAGAGAGAGAGACAGAGACAGAGACAGAGAGACAGAGACAGAGAGAGAGAGAGAGAGAGAGAGAGAGAGAGAGAGACATGTTCACAGACAGACCGGCTGCATTTTTGTTTGTTTGCTGAAAAACTTAAATTGCAATAGTTTCTCCATCACCTCGATCTGTTTGATATGTGTGTGAATGTTTGGATTCATGAGGTTATATTTGGGGACACATGCACAACAAATCACAACTTTAATCCATTAATCTTACTTCATACAGTCATATTCTGAATCTGAGTTTGTATGTGTGTGTAGAAAAGGTGAGGCGTTCACAGCCTGCTGGGAAACATGACTGACCGTCTCTGTAGAGGGATTCCTCCAGCGGCTTCGGGTGCATTAATGTGAAAGGCAGCTCAACAGAGACGTCACTGAGAAACACAGACGATCTGAAGTTTAACAGACCATGAAGGCACCACGGCAGCTCATTTGAAAGATGTTTCTTTGTAAATCTCAGTGTGTGTGGTTTCTATCAGTGTGTTGACAGAATGTGAATAGTTACCTGGCGGCCAGGTCTCCCAGGAGCCTGAAATCAATAAAGATGAAAACAGTTTCAGAGTCACATCAGCAGCAGCACAGAGCCTCTACTCATCTCCACTGACGAGCTCATTAACTGTCAGAGCTCCAGAGCTAATAAACGAGCTGCTGACTGATTCACTGCAGCAGAGATTTACTTCATGGAGATGGAACACATTTATTATTCTCACATCGACATTATCTCTTCATATCTGCAAACGATCTGCAGCGCTGACAGCAGGAACACAGACTACAGATTCACACTGAAACTGAAACAGAATAACACTACTGACTCCTGAATAGTACACATGTATACAACATAGGGAGGGGAGTATGGAGGAGTATGGAGCAGTGAATGGAGCGGCTTATGAAAAGCGTTTATATCTTGCTGGATGATATCAGCGATGTGATATAATAAAACTATTTAAAGAGACAGCCCACACAGACTTTACAAATAACAACCCATGAGAGAAACACGTTAGAGAAACTCATGAAGACTTCAGGTTATAATGTATGTTGAGGGCACTGACCCGCCACGGGACACGACCAGCTTCACTTTGACTTTGTATGACACGATGATGCCCAAAATCTCCTTATTGGCTCCTTCTCTCAACCTGCAGAGACAGAGAACAGCAGCCAATCACAGCGCAGCTCTGAAGTCACCAAGATGTTCAAACTGAGCATTCCCTGAATATGACGCATCCCTACAGAAACTGTAATTTTTATCTTTGTTGGACCGCTGCGTCTTGAGTTTTAACTGTTTAAAACTCTTGTTGTTGTTTCGGACCGCTGCATCCTATATGTGTTTAGCGTAACAGCGTTATAACTGGGTATTACTCTTCTGATCAGAAAGGCCAGTGTAAGCTGTATTAACTTGAATTCGGCTATTGGTTTGTTTCTGTGAATGAAGGGAATTACTCCGAGTTGTGGCGCGGGAGTCGGACTGTGATCCGGCCTCTTCAGGCACGCATTTCTCTTTTATTCTCTTTTATCCTCTTTTATTTCCCCTTCTACGAACATACACACACACATATTCCCGTGTAAACGTACATCTGGAGACCAACTCCATCACCGTGCCATTACACACAGAGATCTATACACTCGCGGCTATCCAGACGCCTCAGAGACACAGATCGTGTAGGGCCGAACTCGGTCTCTTTTAGACCTTAAGGCCACATTTATTAAAGCCACTTTGTTAGGTGTGCGCCATCGGAAGGGCGACCACGTGGGACGAAGTAATCTTCCCCCCCTTTCTCTCCCTTTCATCCACGCACTCACGCACGCACGCACGCACGCACGCACGCACGCACGCACGCACGCACGCACGCACGCACGCACGCACGCACGCACGCACGCACGCACGCAGGTCTTTATTAGGTTTGCGCCATCGTGAACGACCACGTGGGTACGAAGCCATCTCCCCCTTTTTTCTTCCCCCTCTCTCTCTCTCTCTCTCTCTCTCTCTCTCTCTCACACACACACACACACACACACACACACACACACACACACACACACACACACACACACACACACACACCAATTACTGGTGTATTTACATTGTGATATAAGCTGGGTGTGAAGGCTTTGTGTACGGATTTCACGCCTTCAATTTATTAAATATAGTTATTCATTATTAATAATATTAGTAATTAAATAACTAATTTGAGACTGATTTGAGTGATATTTTGGTTATATTTACCTGATTACAGGTTGGTGCCCCAAAACGAGATTAAACATAGTTTCATGATATTTTATTTATATTATTAATAATTAAGTATAATTATTAAAGAATATAACCAAAGTTGACTTGATACAACCCCAACAGACTCTTTGTATGAACGAGTCAAATCATCCCCTCCCCTCTTTCCAGTCCAGTCCAGCAGGGGGCAGTAATGAACATTTAAGTTATCTCTATCTCTTACATGGTTACAATAAGAGTGAGAGTGACAAAAGCGTTCCCCGCTCTCCTGCAGACTTGGGGGGGATGATGGTGCTGCCGGACTCACAGAGTGCTGGAGGCGAGGTTTGTGTCCTCGTGCTTCAGTTTCCCATCGAGCGCGAGGCCGCGTTTCTCTCGGTTGTTTGCCAGAAACGGAGTCAGAGTGAAAACTTTGCAGAAAGTTGAACTGGGAGCAACGACGTCACTGCAACACAAACACCAAGATTAACAAGATGTTAATTTCCTCGGTCTGAGGATCATCGTGTGTAAGAATAAAACAAAGGAACGCTCTGAAAACAGAAACTCACTCAGCGTCCTCGGTGGCCACGGGACATTTATACTGAGCCGTGTTGAACAGGCAGATGTCTGCGTACTGTCGCACTGTGGAAACACAGATCACTGATCAATACCAGAGAGAGAGAGAGAGAGAGGGGGAGAGAGAGAGGGAGAGGGGGAGAGAGAGAGAGGGGGGGAGGGAGAGAGAGAGAGAGAGAGAGAGAGGGGGGGGGAGGGAGAGAGTGACAGAGAGAGAGAGAGAGAGAGGGAGAGGGGGGAGGGAGAGAGAGAGAGGGAGGGTGCGGCCACCTACCTGAGATCTTCATCTTCTTCACTGTCTTGTTTGTGTTGTTGGTGACGTGAACGTTCACACTGATTGGCTCTCCATGGTAATAGATCTGAAAGATGAAAAACTCAGAGCTCAGAGCGTAAAGTCAACAAACTGCACAAATCAGAGGTCAGCTGAGTCTTAAGGTCTACCCTCAGAGTGAAAAACACATTTACGTCTCAGCTTCAGGAACCTCACAGAGTTTGGTTTTTACACATCGTTAAATATGTAAGAAACCAAACGTCAGTGTTCAAATGCACCTCTTAAAGAAAAGCAGCCAGTAACTGTTTAACTGAGTCAGCTCCTCAGATGTTCTAGATTTGCTTCTTTTCTTTAAATGAGAAACAACAACATGACTATCTCTAAAACAACCTGAAAACCTTCATCACACCTTGAAAACAAATGTCACCAGGGCAATCAAAGTCAAGAATCACCCACCAGGACCTCAGGAACCTCCTGGAGAACTGAAGCAGTCCAGAGACTCCTCGAGACACTCTGAACTCTCTCCCAGAACACTTAGAGATAACTAGCGGTACCTGTAACCCTCCTAACCTCCACCGGGAACCTTGAGGACCTCTGAAACTCTCAAAGAGTCTGGAACATGCAGAGTCCTTATTCTTGTAAAGACATTTCCTGGTCCCAGCTCAACAGATGTTTTGAATTAGCTCGTTGTTGGAGATTTAAATCATTTGAATGTGCATGATTAAAAATGAAGTCTAGTTCATTAAACTCGGTTCGATTATAATAAGAGTAGAAGTCGTTGGAAGTCGGTACTTGTTGTTTGGTTTGGTCTCAGGTGTCACCTCTTTGTCCAGAGAGGCCTCCAGGTGCAGAGGTTTGTCCGACATCAGGAACTGTCTGGTGGTCTCTGCAGTGGGCTGAGGACCGGCTTTCTCCGGAGCGTACTGCACCTTCCTGATCACCAGACGCACAGAGTTCCTGCAAACACAACACAACACCACGCTGATGCAGAGACGGCTTGGATGGACTACGTCGCGTCAGACTGCAGCTTACTCTCCGTTACCTTTTGTGGATCTTCTCTTCAACGTTTTCTGCACAGAAAGCTTTCACTTCAAAGTCCACTCCACAGGCCTGACAACACACAACAGGTCAATATTCATGCTTTTTAATACTTTAAAATGAAGCCCTGTATTTTTTACCATTTTTTTGTTTACGTTAAAAGGCAACAAATGATCTACTCCAGAAGCTGAATAAGTGAGAGAGAGCTTCTAAAGTTCAACCTGAGTGTCTTACCTTCCCGGTGTCCTCGGGGCCCGGCTGGAGGGTGACGGAGCACGGCAGGTTCAGAGGAATCTGAAAACACAAGTTTAGATGTGAATGTACCTGCTGATGTTTCATTTGAACTTCTAAAGATCACAACAGTTTGTTTATTCGTCATTAGATACCGACAATCACACGATGACTCATGCTTTCTCTCTCGTGTTTTCCACAGATTCACCTCTTTCGCTCTTTAAAGTCCAAAAGATTCCGGGAGAATAACCTGGAATAAGAAGCCCCTTTGTTAATCACGCACTACGTTTACATGCACAGTTAAGTGGCGCTACAGTTACAGCTCGACCCGCCATTTAATTATTCTGCTGTCCTTGTCCCAGTTTACAAGCACAGAGGGAGAATCCTTTTATTGACTGATGCAAGTCTGACTCCTGTTTAGTAGGTGGCGATGAGCCGCCTTTCAGCTTGGTACTGTTGGACCTTCCTCCTGATGACCTCTAACCTCACAAACCAAACCGCTGACAATCTGCATTTGTTTTCATCCATGTCCTATAACACTCCTTCGACCCCCAACTACATTATCTATAAGTGTTAGTCAGACTTTGAGAAAAAAAGATTTTGTACGAATTAAGTTAGAGTAACATGTAAACATGGGTTTAAAGGAAGAATGTGCGACATGTTCCACATTAATAAATCATAAAGTGTGTCCTGTGTAAATGTGTCTCTGAGTCCTGACTGTCTACAATGAGGGAGAAGCTCGAGTCCCGCTGGCTGTGTTGTTGTCAGAGCCGTGTTTACATGGACGGGACGGCCGGCTCCTCCCCTTGTGTATAAAAGCTGTTTTAGTCAAGAACTAGAGAGAAGAAGAAGAACATACTCACTGATTATTTGGATGTTAGTAAGAGTTTTTAGATCACGCTCGTTCTGTGTCAGTTTACATGAAATGTGAAGCTACATTAGCACATTAGCATGCTAACACAACAATGCATCTCAAGTCAAGTTTGTGGCGCTTTATGGGACTTAACTATGGTGCGTTCCTAACTCCTACGTGTGAACGAGAGGGGAGGGGGATGGAGGTGTTTCTCTGAAGGAGAGCGGAGGCTTCAGTATGGAGGAGGCGTGGCCAAACAGCAGTTTGTTTTGGTGTGTCATGCCGTTGCCAAAGGGTGACATCTACTGGATCACAAAGTCACACATTCTTCCTTTAAAAAGACCAGTTTCAGTTCACCTGAAGACACCTGACAATACGTTTCAAGGCAGACCAGACTTTTTGTTTGAACCATTTTGGACGACTGTGGCTCAGTGGTAGAGTCTGTCTTTCAACCAGAAGGTCAGGGGTTCGATCCCCAGCTCCTCCAGCGACATGTCTGATGAGGCAAGACACTCAACCCAATGGCAGTGTGTGATTGTGTATGAAAGATTTTGTTAATACTGATGGACTCTTTACACAGCAGCCTCTACCATCAGTGTGTGAATGAGTAGGTGTGACCTGCAGGGTGAAAGCGCTTTGAGTCTTCAGATAACAAGAAGAGAACGATAAAAGCTCAAGTCTATTTAGCTTCTACCAAGGAACTACCATTAGACCCTGAATCCTGGAAGGAAGGAAGTACAGGAAGCTGGTTATTAAGAGATAATAACATGGTCCTGATGAAAACCACAACAACCATCTACAGACAAACTGATCAGACAACAGTGAAGGAGACCCGGAAGACTTCCCTTAAAGGTCCCATATTCTTCTTTTTCTGGTTTTATCTGCTCTTTAGTGTGTTTTCCAAGTGTCCTGTGCATGTTTAGGCACATCTATGTGCAAAAATTCAAAGTCTACGGAAACACGGCTTCTCCTATGTCCTCCTGTTAGCTGTAGCATTAGCTGCATGTAACGCTCGGTTCTAGCCCCCTCGATAAAAATGTGTCAGTGTGACGTCATTGTCAGTGTGAGATCACTGATCTAAGCTCATTGGCTCGTTGTGGCCCAGCAGCTCATGTTGAAATTTCCGAGACGCGTGCTGCGCAACTGACCAATAACGACAGAGCGGATCGGCAGATCAATCAGAGCAGACTTGGCCCACGTGGGGTCTAACAGTGTGGGCTCAACAGAGTGTAGCTGACGGACTCAGAGCGTAGAGGGAGCAAGGAGGAGCAGTACATGAAAACAGACACTTTTTTCGGACTTTAGCTATTATGAACGTACAAAAGTAGGAACATAGATTAAATATACGAACCCCAAAAAGGGCAGAATATGGGCTCTTTAACACGAGAACCATTCGTCATCACCAAACAGCAACATCATTAATTCATGAGATAATGAATGTCAGACTTTACCATCATCAGTCACAGCACTGTGTGTACACCTCAATATGAACATACAAAGATGTGATGACAACTGAGCTTAGTTACGACACTTTTGCGGAAAAAGCAGTCCGAAAAGGTCTCCTGATGAATGTCATTAAGAGGACCTACTTCCTGACAGGTTGAATTCAGGGTAAGAAATCCCCGAATAAAGGTTGTTCACGTTGTGCAGCTCTAACAGAATGCATCGATAATAAAGGAAAAGAGAAAAACCACTGGACAATATTTGGAATAACCACACATCATCACAGGTTCAGTACCTCAAAGGTGAACGGATGGGCGTGTTCTCCCAGTTTCTTAATGAGCCGTTCTTGAAGGCGTGTCAGACTCTTCTTCTCTTCGGGTAACGGTGGAAACGCCTGAATGTTCGCCACAAACAGGTCTTTACGAAACGTCAACCCCAGGACATCCAAATCCTCGCGCCCATAACGGAACGCACAGGTCAGAGTTACGAACACTGATGGGAAGAAAAAAACACAACAGGCTAGACTTAAAGTCTACTTCTATTTTAAGTCAATACAGTTTATTAAATGAAGAATGTTTTGGAAAGCATTTACAAGATTTTATCAAAAATCGGAGGCTCAAGGATGCTTCCCTGAGGAACTCCACGACTCCATTAACTCCATTAACTCCATTAAAGAGGGAGAACTAGAGGGTGATGCGAGAGTGTCATCCTCTAGTTCTCAGAACATTTCTCCCAACAGTCTTTTTTCCGCTGCTCTATCTAGTAAAGGCAAAAACGAAAAGAAAAAAAATACTTCAAAACAAAAACTTAACAAGCTAAGAGCCTTGAGGAACGTTGCAGACCTAGGATTAAGACTGTGAACCTTAGCTTCGACTTAGGTCACATCTGTCGGGAATTCTTGTAAATGTAAATGTTGGTCTTAGCAGCATGTTATTAGAAATGTGGTCATGGAGGGTATTAATATGTGGATTTTTTTTTGGGGTGGGGGGGATATTTGTGACTTGAGTAATTTGTGATTTCAGGCGGAAACTTTGGTCAGCTCAGAGTGAGTATGGAGTGGTGCATTTTTCCAAAAGTTTTTCCTGGGTAACAACAAACTTTTTCAGGTTCCTCACCTTTCCTCTCCTTCAGGTACTCCGGGTCGATCAGGACAACGCCATCTGCAGGGAGAAAAGTCGACAAACGACCAGAGGACGGCTGGTTTTTACTCTGGCATCAGTTTTCCACCCAGAACTAAACAAACTAAAGAGAGCTACTACTTCAGATGAGTCGACGTCTGTTTAACATTGAATATCAGTAAACAGGGCGGCTGTGGCTCAGTTGGTAGAATTTTTCAACCGAAAGGTCGAGGGTTCGATCCCCAGCTGAACAACATGTCCGATGTGTCCTTGGGCTGCTTTGGTGGTGGTGTATGACTGGATTAGTGTTGTACTTACTCTCTGATGTACATCGCTTTGGATGTGGATCTGCTAAGTGAATTGTAACATTGTAAACAGTAATCTCACCGACAGGCTCCACCAGGTCCACGTGGTCCACAAAGTCTCTCTTCCCCAGGTAGACTGTGAGCTGAGGTAGGAACACAAGTCAGAGATCAGCCAATGACATTATCAACTCTTTGTTGTGTCTTTATTCCATTCATGAAGTCCACAGAGATATTTTTTTTTGGCTTTCTTAGCATTCTTTTGTCTTGTTGTTGCATACTATAAGGCATGGGAGGGGTGCTGTGTCTGCACCCTCTGCTGGTATATCAAGTCCATTTGTACTGCGGGATGCTTTGTATTGATGTGTGCATGCTGTACAAGCTGACACACATGTTGTTTGTATCCAGCCTGGGCTGGTGCGATGCCGGTTGAATGAAGGGGAAAAGACTTTAACCACGTCCAGCTGCTTCTTTGGATCAAATTAAAATGATGTGGACGACTGAGAACCTTCACAGATACACTCAGGTATGTGTGTCTGTGCAGGCTGTAAACATGATGTGAACATAAAGGGGCGGCTGTGGCTCAGTGGTAGAGTAGGTCGTCTCTCAACCAGAAAGTCAAGGGTTCGATCCCCAGCTCCTGCAGCTATGTGTCCGATGTGTCCTTGGGCAAGGCACTTAACCCCAAGTTACTCCCTCTGCTTTGTCGGCATATGAATGTGTGTGAATGTGTAGGTGTGACCTGCAGTGTAAAAGAGCTCTGAGTCATCAGAAGACTGGAGCAGAACGATACAAGCTTAAGTCCATTTTTACCATGACTGAGAACCTTCACAGACATGGTCAGGTGTGTGTGTGTGTACACGAACATGTAGAACATAAAGAAGAGGTGACTCACCTTTCCATTGGGACTGGCCTTCTTAAACACTCTGAAAACAGACAGAGAGAAACAGGGTCAGGTGGATCTGAAGTAGAACGTTTTATTCATTCATTGGAGGTACCATCAGGCTGAGCCGTGGAGGTATGGATGGATTATTATGACCACAGGCCCTGGACACAAACTCGCCTTGGACCCCAACCTACACACACACTGCTCGTGCCCTCTCCAAGTATACACAGTTTGTCTGCAGAATAACAGAGGCTCAGCCACAACCACACAGCACGTATTCAGCACGTGGAGGGGGAGGAGTTTGGTAAGCTCTCTTTGCAGATGATGTGGTTCTGTGACATCCGGCCGGTTTGAAGGTAAAACATGTTCTATGGAAATATGGTGGAGTAATGACTTCCTAAAAAAGAGAGTGAAGTCAAACTCCCTCTGGGAAACTTTGCTCTCATGTTTCTTGATGAACGACCTCGAGGCTCCAGATCCTGTTGGGTCTGTTTGTTTTTATAAATCTGTGCTGTGGACTCAGACGTTTCTTAGATGCTCAGAGTTTCTGTGATCGTTACCTGAGGCGTTAAAAGAGTCTTCATCATCACCCTCGTCTTCATCACTATCAGCAGCAGCTTCCTGTCTCTCTGAGCTTCTCTCTAATGCTCTCTGGCAATATCACCCCCCCACACACACACACACACACACACACACACTCTGTGTTAATGTTGTCATAAATTAGCCGCTGCGGCTCCATTAGCGTTCAGCTTCCTCCTGAATAGATCTTCATCAATCAGCAGCATCAGGACGCCGTATTACCAGAAACCGCCGGGACTCCTGGGAGCTCGCTCAGCAGGCAATTAGCTGCTCGCCAACATCTCAGAGCGATTAGTCCAATTAAACATGAACGCTGGGAGATCTCAGCTCACGAATCAAAGTTAGAGAACATCAAGTGATGAAGACGACGTGGTCAAACCAGAGTTCATGTTCTGATCTTTCATTATATTCATGTTTTTACTGATCACTCCCTCAGTTGTAGCTGGACAACATTTAAATTATTTTATTTATTTTTTCAAATCATTTAAATGAGAATCTGATCATGAAAGTCTGCAGATTATTCACAACACGTCTCTTTACTGAACACATGACGAACACTGAAGGCATCACGAGTGGACCTCTGATCTGAGGACGTCATCAGAGCCACGCCCAGATTTCAGGGATCCTTTAACAGCCATCCGGGCTGAATCAGCTTCTCTGTTATTTTGGAGAGGTACGTTTTTTTTAAGGTCTCTGTGTTCCGCCCTGTTTTCCAGTCGAGAATAACGGAGGCTGTGTCGAACATAATAGAAAAAAGTTTTGGGTTCTTATAGATCAGCTGGCTCACGTCATGATGTGCAGTCAGAAACATTTCCCCTCTTTTTTTCAACAGGCTCACATCAGATGATGCATGTCGCCTGCTGGGTGTCACCTCCATGATTCCCTCAGACAGACTTTGCTTGTTCATGCATCGCTCCAAACCCTGAGGCTGGACAGTGACTCTCAAACTGTCACAGCCTAAACTCATCCTCTGTGAACACACGTTTCACCACCTTGAAAATGAAACAACAGAATGACTGGTTATTGTCACATCCATAAGAAGAACAGTCTGTTCAGCTGGGAGAACCAAAACAAAGATGTCCGCCTAGTTTATCAAACCCACTCCAGGGGCAGCTAGGGGGCGATGTACGATGCCACTCGGAGACACCACCTTTAGTCAGGGTGTCATTTCCATCAGAAGAATTTAACGTCACAATCATTCATAATTGAATGTTTGAGGCGCCTCAATTAAATATTGAGGCGCTGGTGGCGCAGTGGCACAGTGGTTAGTGCGCGCGCCCCATGTATGGAGGCTGTCGTCTCAAACGGGCGGCCCGGGTTCACTTCCCACCTGTGGCTTCTTTCCCGCATGTCATTCCTCTCTCTCTCTCTCTCTCCCTGATTTCCAACTCCATCCACTGTCCTATCTCTCCATTGAAGGCACAAAAAGCCCAAAAATATTAACCATCAGTGTCAACACTGATCCTGTTCCCATGGTAACAGTAACCGTGTCATGTCCTACGTTGGATCTTATTTGTTCTCGTTATCAAAATCGTCTCGTATATTTCTGTGTTTATCTAAACTAATGAATGTGTGTTATTTATGGATGTTAGCCTTTCAGCTAACCTCTTTAAAATAAAACAATAAATTAAACATCTGACCCTCTCTACTCTTCATTCATCCTTAACAGACGATCACGTGTCTCAGTGGTGAAGATTAGCTGAGCTCGCTGCGTTGGTTTATTATATAGACTGTCTGTATGTTCTCTGCATCCTGTATGAGAGGACGGTGAAGACCCTGAACGCATCGCGATGAGAGCACTCAGAAACATTAGTCCAACAACACAGAGAGGAAGAGGAAGAACATGTAAACATGATTAAAGATTCATTCAGAGGAGACACACACACACACACACACACACACACACACACACACACACACACACACACACACACACACACACCAGAGAAACACACAGACACCACAACTCAACGACTCAGCATAAAAAACAAATGTTCAAAAGATAAGATTCGATATGACAGAAGTCACAATAAACAAAGTTTCGTTTGTTGATATTCTTCCTCGTGTGTGTGATGCTACCTGAGTTCAAAATCAGGAAGGATTTTAAAACTCCTGCAGACTGAGCTGGGCTGAAAGGCTTTATCTGTGATTTTTCACCTTTAAATATTAAATGTAATATAAATCAAGTATCTCCTCTGAAAATAACTCTGTGAGTCATGACTGTCTACAATGGGTGTAACACCTGAGTCCCACTGTCTGTGATGTTTTCAGAGTTTTCAGAGTCCTATCTTCACTTTGTTTACATCGCCGGGACGGCTGGCTGACTCCTCCCCTCACGTATAAAAGTTGTTTAATTGAGGGACTAGAGAAAAGAAGAATAACATACTGTACTCACTGCTTAACTGTGTTTCTAGATCACGCTCATTTCAGGTAAATGTGAAGATACCAGCATAATAAAGATCACTAGCATTAGCATGCTAACACAACAATGCAGCGCAGTTGTTTTGGTTTCATGCTGGAGCTCAAGGGCGACATCTGCTGGATCAAAAAATCACATATAAAGCCTTTAAAGGGATACTTCACTATGAAACATGAATCTGTATTGACATTGGGTCATATACAGTTGCAGGAAAAAGTATGTGAACCCTTTGGAATTTCTTTTTAATTTTGGATTAACCCTAACCCTAACCCATAAAATGTGTTCTGATCTTCATCTAAGTCTCAACAATAGACAAACACAGTCTGCTTAAACTAACACCACACAAACAATTATATGTTTTCATGTTTTTATTGAACACAACATGTAAACATTCACAGTGCAGGGTGGAAAACGTATGTGAACTATGTGGCTAATGATTTCTCCAAGAGCTAATTGGAGTCAGGAGTCAGCCAACCTGGAGTCCAATCAATGAGACGAGATTGGAGGTGTTGGTTAAAGCTGCCCTGCCCTATAAAAAACACACTCCAGTTTTGAGTTTGCTATTCTCAAGAAGCATTGCCTGATGTGAACCATGCCTCGAACAAAAGAGCTCTCAGAAGACCTACGATTAAGAATTGTTGACTTGCATAAAGCTGGAAAGGGTTACAAAAGACTCTCTAAAAGCCTCGACGTTCATCAGTCCACGGTAAGACAAACTGTCTGTAAATGGAGAAAGTTCAGCACTGCTGCTACTCTCCCTAGAAGTGGCCGTCCTGTAAAGATGACTGCAAGAGCACAGCGCAGAATGCTCAATGAGGTGAAGAAGAATCCTAGAGTGTCAGCTAAAGACTTACACAAATCTCTGGCACATGCTAACATCTCTGTTGACGAATCTACGATACGTAAAACACTAAACAAGAATGGAATTCATGGGAGGACACCACGGAGAAAACCACTGCTGTCTCAAAAAAACATTGCTGCATGTTTGAAGTTTGCAAAAACAGCACTACTGGCAAAACATCCTGTGGACAGATGAAACCAAAGTTGAGTTGTTTGGAAGGAACACACAACACTATGTGTGGAGAGAAAAAGGCACAGCACACCAACATCAAAACCTCATCCCAACTGTGACGTATGGTGGAGGGGGCATCGTGGGGGCTGCTTCGCTGCATCAGGGCCTGGACAGATTGCTATCATCGACGGAAAAATGAATTTCCAAGTTTATCAAGACATTTTGCAGGAAAACTTAAGACCATCTGTCCACCAACTGAAGCTCAACAGAAGATGGGTGATGCAACAGGACAACGACCCAAAGCACAGAAGTAAATCAACAACAGAATGGCTTCAACAGAAGACAATACGCCTTCTGGAGTGGCCCAGTCAGAGTCCTGACCTCAACCCGATAGAGATGCTGTGGCATGACCTCAAGAGAGCGATTCACACCAGACATCCCGAGAATATTGCTGAACTGAAACAATTTTGTAAAGAGGAATGGTCCAACATTCCTCCTGACCGTTGTGCAGGTCTGATCTGCAACTACAGGAAACGTTTGGTTGAGGTTATTGCTGCCAAAGGAGGGTCAACCAGTTATTAAATCCAAGGGTTCACATACGTTTCTACCCTGCACTGTGAATGTTTACATGTTGTGTTCAACAAAAACATGAAAACATATAATTGTTTGTGTGGTGTTAGTTTAAGCAGACTGTGTTTGTCTATTGTTGAGACTTAGATGAAGATCAGAACACATTTTATGCAGAAAACTAGGTAATTCCAAAGGGTTCACATACTTTTTCTTGCAACCGTATGTAGTAATGTGGAATACATTTTGAAGTTGGTGCCTTCTTGGCCGAGAAAAGACAGAAAGTGTCTTTTTGGCTCATGTGGATGAAAGACACCAAATCCCAGAATGCACAGCACCGCAGGCCACTCCCACTAAGGTCCTCTATTTCCAGACATTTTCTACAACTCATTCCGTCGTTGTCGGTTCTTCTCAGCTTTCTCCATAGAGCCTGTTAGCATAGCTTCCAAGCAATATGGCGGGC